AAAAAGAATAAATGAATGAATGACAACTCATGAGCTGAGGCTGGAGAGTTAGAGGCCAGATGATTTAGGGCTCATAAGTCAGGTTATGTGATTTCGATCTTGTTGTGAATGCAATAAGAAGTCATCAAAGGTTTTTAAGTGGGGAATGATATGGAGACAATAACCCGACTTTCTCCATGGCTCCAGTCAGGATGATGGTTGTGAAGCTAGCAGTATAGTTCTAATCAAAATCTCAATAGGAAATTTTGGGAAATTTGACAGACTAATTCTAAAAGGATCATCTGAGAAGAAAAGAACTTTTCTTCTAAATATCAAGACCTATTACATTATCTTAAATTGTTATATAAAAAATACAGTATGCAAAATGCAGCATGTGAAAATTAGAACAGGGGACCCAGAAACAGAGTCATATGTATGTGGAAACACATATGGAAAATGACAGAGATAGCATTACAGATAACGTACAGCCCATGCAAATCTACTTCAGGTGGATTAATGACAAATGGGAAACCACAGTAGAAGAAAATACAGGCAGATATCTTTATGACAGCAGGAAGGGAACTAATTCTGAAATAAATTCTGTCAAAAGTGAGTGAAAGAATTAGCCACAAAACTGGAAAAGATTTTTGCCATGCCTGTAAGTGACAGAGTATTAGTATGAAGACATAAAAAATTCGTATGAACAATAAGAAAATGATCCCACATTACTCTCAGGACCCTTGGGACACAGTACCAGGGGGATGAAACAATTTGGCAGGACTGTAGGAATTTTTCCTTTGACCCAATTGTTCCTCTCCTATGAATGTATCCAAAATGGATGTATTTCCCTAAAAAGAAAAGGGACTGTTTGATGAAAGATCCAAATTGCAGTAGCACACTGAAAGCTTCCTAATGTTTAGTAACAGGCAACAAGTCAAGAGAAGTGCAGGACATCCATTCTGGAATAATATGGAGCCTTCTTACATTATAATTATGAAGAACGTATGTGTAATATTAAATAGCACAACTCATATAATTGTATTGATGCTTTGTAAAAATTATAGGCAGAAATGTGGAAAAAGGAAAATTGTTATTTGTTGGGTTGGGAGGAAATTGTAGAAGGTTTTTTTAAATAATGTCTTTTGATTACAATTTGTGAAATACAAAATAAGAGACAACTCACTAGAAAAATTGGTAGGAGTCAAACAGTTCAAAAGTAAAATTAGGTATTTCACAGAAGGGAAAAAATTAGTGGCTAAAAGCATGAGAAAAGATATCAAACCTCATTATTAGGCAAAAAAATATGAATGAAAAACCCACAGTGAGCTGTCTCTCTATATCTAACAGCAAAAATTATGGCCTAGAAGATAGTATCAAGTATTTGTGAATATGTGAATCATTGTGGATATTTATATCCTGCAGTTGGGCTGTAAACTGTTTCAACAGTGTGACTGAAAATGATTTGGCATTACAAAGTAAAGTTGAATATGTGTATCCCATAAGGCCTGGCAGTATTTACTGTAAAAAAACTTCCATATTCACACAAACACATTCAAATATATGTATAAAAATGGTTACAGCACAGGGCACCTGGATGGCTCAGTAGGTTGAGCATCTTGATTTTGGCTCAGGTCATCATCTCACAGGTTCGTGAGTTGGAATTCCACATCAGGCTCTGCACTGACAGTGTGGAGCCTCTCTAACCACCCCACCCCTAAAAAATAAATAAACATTAAAAAAAAAAGAATGGTTACAGCAGTATTACTCAATAATGCAAAACCCCAGAACAGCCCAAGTATCCCATCACTGGTACAAAGAATAAGTAATATATGGTATGGTATATTCATACACGGGCATCCTAGATTTTAATGATATTAATGAATTACAGCCACATGCATTGGAATGTCTAAACTAATGATGGGGAATGGGGCAGGACTGGGAAGCAAATCGCAAAAGAAAATGGACAGTATTTCATTTTTATAAAGCTGAAAGTGCAAAATCACATGATTTATGTTGTAGGAGTGTAAAAATCCATGAAAAAGCTATATTAAAAAGTGAGGAAGTGGTAAATCCAGAATTCCAAATAAATGTAACCCTGGGGGAGGAAGAAGATGCAGTGTTGGTGGGGGCATGCAGTGGACTTCAAAACGATTGGTGATGTTATTTTTCTTAAGTGGGTACTGGTGGTTTGTTTTAATATTTCTGCAACTACTTTATTCTCTTTTCATAATATATGCATGTCGTAAACCAACTTGTTGGAACATCGTATCTTTTGAGCTTTTCAAAAAAGGTTTTGCTTTTTTCCTCCATTTACCAAGTTAGATACCTTCATTTTCTTATGACCTTAATGATAATTTAACAAGAATTTATCAACTTGATCCTCACAAAGAGATGTCACACCTTCCTTGCTTTATAGATTTCCCGTCAGATATTGCTAACAAATCTCTCTCGGAGAGCTCTGCCACAATGCTCTGGAAGTCCAAAGGCAGGAGGAGAAGAGCATCCCATCCCACTGCCGAATCCTCTAGTGAGCAGGGGGCTAGTGAAGCCGACATTGACAGTGATAGTGGCTACTGCAGTCCCAAACACAGTAACAACCAGCCTGCTGCAGGGGCTTTGAGAAATCCGGAGTCTAGCACCATGAATGTATGTAACACTGCTTTGATTTCTTTATCAGTCATCTATGTCAATATCTTTGTATCCTCGCTAAAGATTAAGTATCTATTTTCATTAACAATTCCTATAGTAATAGAATGGATCAAAATGTATTCTGTATATTAATATGAATAATATTTATGAATAAATATTTTTTCTAAGATTATGATAAGCATGCTTTACACTAGACTAAGTTATGAAACATTTTGCAAGGCATATGGTGTTGACTCTTAAGCAGAAAATAATTATCTTTTTTGTTTTTATTTTTAGCATGCGGAATCATCTATATGTACAGGTACTTATTTTTTGCATAGTGTTTTTGCTATACTTTCTTCTTTATCCATGTCAAAGTTTTGCTTTTAAGCATGAAGCTTGCTGATGCTACAAAAATACTAGAAATCTTCCGGAGAGATTCACATAACTTTGAAAGTACAGATGTTGCGAAAAAAAAAAAAAAAAATTTAGTAATCTTCCAGAGAGATTCACATTACTTTGAAAGTACAGATGAAAATTGAGAAAATGTCAGCCGGAGGTATTCTGCGAGATGGCAATTGTATTGCTAAGAACTGGAATACCACTTAAAGTTTGTAGAGAAATTTCCAGTATTAGTTTATAGTGACTGAATTTCAATACATGAAGTTAAGGGATAATTTACGTTTTGGCATTTTTCATAAATAAATACTTTTTTTAAATCTTATTGGTTACAGGTGGTGTAAATTGGTCGAATGTAACTTGCCAGGCAACTCAGAAAAAACCTTGGATGGAAAAAAATCAGACATTTTCTAGAGGTGGAAGGCAGACTGAACAAAGAAATAATTCACAGGTAATTTCAGTTAGGTTGGAGAAATTTGATTAGTGTGAGATGAATTATTGTAAATGGTATAGTGGTCTTGAAGAGCAGTGTCCTTAATTTTTGGAGTTGTGTGTTGAATTATAGTAATAGTAAAATACCATGATATCTAACTTTAAAATGGCTTAGCTAATAAAATTAATACTTAAGTAATGAAACAAAATGGGAAAATGTTGACTCTAAGTGGCATGTATATAGTTATATGTTCCGTTTTGTACTTAACTGTATTTAAGAAATATATTTGTATATTTCATATTTTTAAAGGAGAATGAATATCTTCTAGGCATGCTTCATCTGCCATGACTTTTTTACCCATATAAAAAATTTAAAAGCATTTAATGCCATAAATATTGATTATTTGAACTTTAGAACTGTGGTCTTGTTCATACGGCTTTACTTGACCATGAACACCACAAGCTACACGCTCTGTGCTTGTTCTAGTGCCATAGAGATAGCCGCCTCATGCTGTGATGTGGGAGAACAATATCTACCTGGAGTACAGCAGAGCACGTTACATACTGCCACGGATTTTCAGGAACTGTCTTCCTGCGTTGGTTGTATGTGAAATCAGGGAGTTGTTTGTTGGTCAGCATTTTTCTTTTTCAGTTTGTAGATAGACTGCTTGGATTCCTTAAATCTAGTTAAGGCATTATGAGTATCCTATGAATAGATCTGTGGATGAACTGAAATAAGAGTAAGTTACTAACGGATTAAGTAGACCAAATACTTGCCTGCTCATTTGCTGAAATGAAGTGCTTCATATGCACCCTAATGTCAGGAAAACAAGCAGAATAATACCCTTTTCTCTGTGGTTAGGAGTCACTGTTGTTTGTGGCAGGCATGTGAGGCAGTCTAGCTTTATTTGATTAGAAACAAAAGAGCTAAAACAAGAATTGTTTATGTAGATGAGAGAAAATCTATAAAATGGTAGTTAAGTGCTGACATTTTATGTTCAAATTGTAACTTACTAGACTATTACTTTTGGTATCCATAGCCCACTGGAGGGGAGGTAATAATACCAGTGTGGTGAAGAATAGTAAAAGAACAATAAAAAAATAATGCAAATACATATATGCAGTCTGTTAGGTTTTGTTTATTTTGCATTTCTCTTCATTCCAGAAGAACTGAAGCCAGATGTTGAGCAATGTGTTTCCTACTTCTGATAGGTTATTAGACCTATTCTTAAGTATGTATCTGTGGGGCACCTGTGTGGGTCAGCCAGTTAAGTGTCCGACTTTGACTCAGGTCGTGATCTTGCGGTTCGTGAGTTCCAGCCCCACGTTGGGCTCTGTGCTGGAGCCTGAAGCCTGCTATGGATTTCGTGTCTGCCTCTCTCTGCCCCTCCCTTGCTCCCACTCTGTCTCTTTTTCTCTCAAAAATAGATAACCATTAAAAAAAATTTTTTTTTAAGTTTGTATTTGTTTTGTAATGTTCAGAATAATTTTTTTCTGTTAAAATATATTCCCCTTTTGTGATTTCTGATTGTTTACAGGCTTAAAAAGTCGCTTAGAAGTGAAATAAATAATTCACTTATATTTTCTATTTTTTTTGTAGCATAATGTTGCAAGACCTTTTTATCTGAGATTTATTTGGATGCATGATATAATAATGGTGTCAATTTTCAGAGTAGTTAACCAGTTGTAAAATTTTTTTTTTTATTTTTTTTTATTTTTTTTAT